CCCCGTTTGTTCAGGAGCTCAAAGCAATACACACAGCAATACACTCTTCTCCCAATTTTTCCCCACCGAAACAACAATCTGGTGAGGCAAACTGGGCTGAGAGAAAAAGTCGATCAGGCAGCTTCTGTGACTAAGAATGGAACGGATCTTCACACTTAGCCCAACATTTTAACTTTCACACTGATGTTTCTCAACCTGAGCAACATTAAGTGTGGACTTCGATTCCCAGCATTCCCCAGTCAACCCTGTCTGGCTGGGGAATTCTGGGAATTGAAGGCCACATAACTTTACCAAGGTTGAGAAACACACGTTATATGGTGGTTCCTACCGTATGTTAAGACAGTTAACTGGATTCCTACAAAACTATGATCCACAAACTAACCAAACAAACTTCAGCCTAACTGTAGCATGTTCTATAAACCCAACTATTTATTTTATTTATCAAATGTTTATGCCAGCCATCTCCTCTACCAGGTGGCTCTGGGTAGCAAAGAACTATATTCTTTCTAGAACAGCTTGGTATAACAACCAGCAAACTGCAAAGCATTCCCCAAAATAATGCCTACCGCAGAACTGGGAAAAGATGGCTATCTGTGACCCAAAAATGACTTTAAGGAAGTCATAAAGTAAACGTGCCAACAGTTTAATTCAAACAGGCTCCTGCAAAAAATCCAAAACCTAGTAAGATTGGTGGTGGTTGTTTTTCTGAATACTTCAACATGAGCATGATAGATCACATGAGAACCAGCTGGAATTGCTCTTTAACGAGCTGTATAATTTATTTGAAGAAAAAAAAAATCAAAGGAGAGCCTTTACTTCCTCTTACTTCATTACACAGTTCCATAAGCATAATAGCAACCTGCAATTTTGCCCTCAAACAAAAAAGAATAAAAGTATCCCTTTTGCATTCATCTTAGCTCTTTTTCTGCCTCCCTCCCTCTTTAACACCTCTGCAGTTATATAATTGCAATGCACAACTCAATGTGGCACCAGAGATATTTTGCTTTCTGCCACATGAAATGACACAGCAGTTTGCTAGCCCGAGCATTCAGTCCTCTGAAGCGCTTCAAAACCTTGATGTTGTCGGTGGTGACTTCAAACCAGGAACCTGAACTGAGTATTTAAGCCTCTGCCGATACTTCCGGTCAGCTGAAAGGAAGCCGCTCGGGAAAGACTGGAGAATTTCCTATAAGAAACGGCATTTCCAAGGACTGCTCGTTGTGTTGGCTGAAAGGCCAATTCCAGGCGTGCTCATCTGTTTGGACTTAAGTTGCAAAAGTCAATTCCACCTTGCAGGCCCCCAAGCCAGGATTCCTTTTAAAGCGACTATTTTTGAAGAGTTAACAAGAGACAATTAGGCAGAGAGGCAAGGAAAGACTACGGTACAGAACGGAGGAAATGGAAGCTTCAGAGGTAACCAAAATCGGCAATATTTTGCCATTAAACGGCACAATAGCGCAAACCCAAGCTACCATCCCATTTTTAAGTCATTGCTGAAGAAGAACCGATTGAAGGCCAGAATAAAAAAAAAAAAAAACAGCTGTCTTCTCTCTGCCCAGAATGTGGTAACTGCACTCCACAACTTCAAAAATCATCAGCAATATGTAATAGGAATGTAAATTTAAACCTAAGAGGAAAAGACTATAGATATTGTGCACAAGAAATATGTACCAACCGACACACTGTAGAACTGAAAGTTTATGTTTATGTTTGTCTATGTTTGTTGTTAAAAATAAAAAAAAACTTTTTATAAAAAAAAAACATCAGCAAAGCATTCAGTCTCCCACAGGGAATACCAGTCAACCTGCATGGCTGCAGTAACGATAGTCCTCGACTTATGATCACTTCCCTTGCCAAGAGAAATGTACGTGAGTTTTGCCCCATTTTACCACCTTCCTTGCTAGGGTTCTCATAAAGTGAATCTGGCTTCCCCATAGACTGACTTTGCTTGTCAGAAGGTTACAAAAGGGGAACATGCAACCCTGGGACACTGCGACGGTCATAAGTTTGAGTCAGTTTGCAAGCATCTGAATGTTGATCACGTGACCACGGGGATGTGGCAATGATAATTAACTGTGTAAAATGGTCGTAAGTCATAAGTTACAACGGCCTCGAAGAAAGGGACTAATGACCATTTTTCACACTTATGACCGTTGCGGAGTCCCAATGGTCACGTAATCAAAATCCAGATACCTGCAAACTGACTCATATTTATGACCGTCGCAGTGTCACGCGGTCCCCTTTTGCACCCTCCTGACAAGCCAGATACGACGGTGTGCCTCACTTAACAACTGCAGTCATTCACTTAACAAATGCAGCAAGGAAAGTCGTAAAACGGGAGCAAACCTCAACGTATTTCTCACTCAGCAACGTAAATCCTGGGCTCCATTGTTGCCGTAATTCAAGGACTACTTGTAATTATCACAGTATTTAATAACCAATGTGCTGATACTTGTGTTTAATCATTTGTGGCCATTAAGACTTTAGGAGCTGACTTTTGTTCCAGCGCCGCAGCACTATTTGCCCCCCACATGCAACTTGGGGAGAGAAGCTTTACAAACCTGCCCCAATCCCTTAAATCATAATAATCACAGCCCAGATTACAGTGAGAGGCAAAGGAGGATGAATTCTCCCCACCCCCTTTTCCAGGTAGCCTAATCTGCACGATGAATGGAAGCGAGGAAGTGGGAGATGGGAGTTACTCTGAATTAACCACCACTGAGCCCAAGGATGATTTAATGCTAGTTAATACTGGCTGGAGTTAGGACCAGCTAGACAAACAAAAACAGAACGCTCAAAACCTGGGGAACAAAACAGAAAGAAGCTGCTACGCATTCGTGTGGGAGAAAGAAAGCAAGGAGCACGGGTCCCAAATCTGGTTGCAACCGGTCTAGGAGAGGCAAAATTACATCTCTTCTTTACTTACCAATTTCTAGAGACACAGCAGCACAAAAGCAGATGTGGCATCCCTGCTTCCTGGTTGAAATTGGACGTTTAAGCAAATGTGCATTTGCCTGGGCTGGAAAGGAGCAACCTTATGTGCTCCAATCTGGGCATGAGCCCCTTATAAGATCTTAGGGGTTTCTCTTCAGAGCTTAGCTACCTGATAGGACCCCCAGATGCTACTCAACTCCAGCCCCCATCAGCCCACCCGTCTCCCCAACCCATGACTTTCCTCCCTGTACTCTCCACAGGGCTGGTAACCCCCTTTCCAGGACACCCCACACCCCCTTTTTCCCAGCCCCCCCCCAGTACAGCCGCCATGCTCCCCAATCTGTCCCCTGGTCAGGGATGATGGGACCCGGAGCCCATCTCCCCATGATGGGTGGATCCCCCTCGCAAGCCTTTCTGCCCACCTCTGCCTCCACAGGTGCAGACCAGCATCCACCTGACTTCCATCTCCATCCTCGTCCTTCTGGTGGCTCTTCTCATTTAAAGGCAAAATGGGGGGGGGGGGTATTATTCCTTCTTCTGACTAATTATTAATGGGCAGAAGTGATGGTGATTTATTATTATTAAGATGTAATCTTCAATTCGATTCACAGTCTGGGACAGGTAAAAGCTTAAACAGGTCATGTGCCAGCCAAGGACCTAAGAGCTATTAAGGTAATGTCTAAATATATAAGGTGGTTTATTGCCAAAGTCAGAATATTCAGATCCAATAGGTTCAAAATTTCCCTGTATCTAGGCAGCCCTTTGGATATTGCTGGAAGGCCTCCTATTTCTATTGACACAACCATTGGTTTCTTCCTCCACCATCGCTCAACTTCAATTTGCAGATGGTGGTATTTCATTATTTTGACCCTAATCATTTCTCTTCGATTCGTGCATCACCTGGTATTGCAATATACATGCGAACTAGACTGTGTTGTTTCTCTTTGTCATAGAATAATATATGTGGATACAGGCATAATTTTGTATTTATTTATGTATTTATTCATTCTGTCATGGTTATGTAGTTTATATTGGACGTGACAACCCTTTGAGAGCCACATGCAACAAAATTTCATTTTAATGTATGCCGATTAGTGTGCATTCAAAGTGATAATAAAGTTATTCTATTCAATTTTCTATTCTACTCTATTCTCTATATTGCCTTCTATATTCTACTCCCTATGTTGTCTTCTATATTCCATTCACTATATAGTCTTCTACAGTCTATTTTATTCTCTATATAATGTTCCTCTATTCTAGAACATAGAAGACAATATTATTCTATTCTCTATACTGTCTTCTATGTTCTATTCTATCCTCTATATTGTCCTATAGTCTATATATTCTATTCTATTCTCTATATTGCCTGCTATATTCTTCTATGTACCCTATGTTGTCTTCTATAGTCTATTCACTATATAGTCTTCTATATTCTATTCTCTATATTGTCGTCTATGTTCTATTCTATTCTCTATATTCTATTCTATTCTATTCTATTCTCCATATTGTCTGTAATATTATTCTA